AGCCCAGCTTTCTTTGGTCAATGTCCCCAACCCTGCCACGCCCATCACTCAGATGACCCACGGAACTTCCACTCACCCCCAAACACATCATGATATGTTCTCCCATATTTCCATGTCATGATACTCTTCCTCAAACCATGTTTTCTGCTGCGCATTCCAGAGGACAGCAATGACTGTGAGGGCTGCAGAGGCTTCTGGGTGATGCCCTGCTCTAAGGACAGGCTGTGCTTGCTGTGAAAAGTCGCCCTGGTCTGGAAATCTGGAGGTGCTCCTCTGTTGCAGATCCAGCCCACGTCATGTTCTTGCCTATTATTTCTACCCATGCTGGAATTCAGCCCCTGACTTCATACCTGCCACAAAGTCAGATAAGACGTGCTGAAAGGTCACAAGACAGAGGGGTTGGACTGGGTGCCTATAACTCTAGCACTTGGGAAGTGGAGAGAGGAGGGTCAGCAGTCCAGGGTCATCCGCAGCTGCCTAAAGAGCTCAAAGTTAGCCTGGGCTACGAAAGATCCTGTCTCCAGAAATTAAAAGAAAGACAAAACAAAATGTCACACAGAGGAACTGACAAGCAGCATGCACTGTCTTCTTGTTCAGGTGCTCAATCCACCTCCTACACAGCCACTAATATGAAACCAGTGGGGCTTGCTGGGCTCAGGCAGAGACAGAGCCATTCCCAGGGGAAATCACATCCTGTGTCCTGGTGCTTGTACTACTAAGCTGAAGACAGGGCCAGTCTCTCTGGGTCTCTGTAGGTGGGGAGGGGTCCATTCTCTACTAATGGGCAAGGAGCCTCTGCAACCTGTTTTCTTTCCTTCAGACCCTTAGTCAGGTACTTAGCAAAGGGAGGGTGGGCAAAGCGTGTGTTCTCCTGGATAGTTGAATACAGGTATATACCTAAGCCAGAACTGGTAGACCAACTAGTCCCCCAACCCCAGAAGCAGTGGCTAGGGTCATCTGTGGGCAAGTCACTGAACCTTTTCACCACAGTTCCTTGTTATGACAGAGGACCATGGTGCCTATGCCATTGTCTGTGAAGGTTAGCGAGCAATAGTGTATCCCAAGCACTTCACCCAAAGCCTGGCCTTCAGTGGACCGCAGCTGTTATCAGAGCCAGGGTACCCAAGGTCACGTTCTTTCCAGAACTTGAAGTGGGGCTTTGGTAGTTGCCTCACTGATGGAGCAGTGACCCAGACACCAGTGTGAGACTGGCAGACAGCTGTCACCTGCCATCAGCCCATAGGGGGACACTCTACCCAAGGTCACCTCCTCCCAGAGTGATCCACACACAGTGGCTGATGCCTGGGGAAACTGTGTGAAAGCCAGCTCAGGATAACATTGGACTTTGTAACCTCCCTATGGGGTCAGATGTGTACCCCAAGATTACCACTTAGTGAGTACCTTCCAAAATAAAGTTTCAGGGTTAGCTTCCAAGAAAGTCAGACTGACATGAGTCTTTGTGTTCTTTTCCCTTAGTAAGGGAGGAGAGGGCCAGAGTGAGGAGGGAAAGATGGGGCCTACTAAGCAAGTTCATGGCACCCTCTTCACCTCCTCTCTGCGGCATGATCAGCTTCATGAAGACAGAAGCTGTGTTCTCTTCCAAGAACAACGAGCATCAGGGAAGCTGGGAGCCCGAAAGCATCTCTGACAACATCAACAGCTTCTTTCACCATGAGAGATGAAGTAAATCAGGCAGAGAAAAATGAATACCACATGCTGTCATGCAGACAAAGTTTAAGGGTTGATCTCAAAGAAGCAGAGACTAGACCAGTAGGTACCAGAGCAGAACAGGGACTGGGTAGGGAGGAGAGAGATGGGGCCAGGGCTGCACTGGAGCGGCAGCTTCTCACGTCTGACACACAGGGGGATGGTGACAAAAGCTGGGGGAAAATGACTGTATATTTCCAGAGAACAAAGAGAGGCCTGTGAAACAGAAAGAAATGATGAGGGTCCGAGGTATGGTAACGCCAAGTGCCCTCACCTGTTCCCTGTACTTTGTGCTGAAGTGGTGTTCATGGCCTCATAAATATGCACAATCATTTGGGTGTCAAATCAAAATGAAAAATAGGAAGAGTGGAGAGAAACTGAGCTTGTCTAGACACATAAAGGAGCCAGGTGTGGTAGCTGATATCTATAATCCCAGCACTCGGGAATCTGAAACAGGAAGGTAACTGAGAGCTACAATGTAAGCTACAGAGCAAGACCTTTGTTGATGACAGAGGTTTCTGTCCCACCAGGTTGTCCTTGAACTCACAGAGGTCCATCTGCCTCTGCCCCCCAAGAGTTGGGATTAAATGTACATGCCACCACATCCAACTACTGACCTAGACTCAAAAAAGATTAAAAAATCACACACACACACACACACACGGACATCCACGCAAAGTTCCAGAAGCTCCCTTAGTGCTGAGCTAATAAATAATCAAAAATTAGGGCCAACAAGATGGTTCAAAAGGTTATAGGTACTCGATGCCAAGCCTGCCCCCAAGGTCCCCACGGTAGATTGAGAGAACTGACTCCTGCAAGTTTTCCTCTGACCTCCACACAGACATGGCACTCAGGTACCCACCTACCTCCTCCCCCATTAACATAATTCTAAAAACCATTAAATAACCAGAACCCAACAGCATTCACAGGCAGTGAAGGGAAGAGTCCTAAAAACTCTGGCCCAGAGTCAGATACCCAAGACACACCTTCCGTCTTGCTCAGAAAGGTATCTCAGATAACACACCAAACATTAGTCTCTTTTGCTTCTAACTAGAGTTCTACTGACCGATAGAGAATACTTCAGCTCCCTCTGACAAAAGTGCTGCACCATGAAATAACATTCTACCTAGAAGTAGTTCATATACACCAAACCTTGCAAGCACTATGAGACTCGGGGAAGGGGAAAGGCCCAGTCAACTGATTTTATAGGCAAGGGAGGTGCTGCCCAGGAACGTCCATGGTCTGTTAAGACTTGCCTGCTGAGTCCTTAAAGCGAGGAATTTTTCTGCCACAGGATCAGTCAAGAGAAATTATTGCACCCAGAGCTGCGCAGGGCAGACACTGCCTGGAATGTGTTCCACAGACTCGGAGCCTCAGCCCTTTCCCTACAAAGGTTCGCAGTGGTCCTGTCATCCCTTGCCTCCTTCAGTCTCAAATGCCAGCTGATAATTCACTTTATGGCTCAATTCAAAGCAAGTAATGTCACCCTCAGGACAAGGCTTCACCCCACCCGCTCCCTAGTACTTGGTCATGTCCTTCCGCCTGTCCTGTATTCACTGTTGACCTACTGTGTGCTCCCAAGGTCTAGCTCAGAGCACAACCCGAGACAGGAGACTAGTGGGTGGAGGCTGAATGAATAAACAGAGGGGTCAATACCATTGCTTTGATGATGAGCATGAACTAGCACTCCTGAATCAATAAAGTGTTTTTTTTGTTCCACACGCTTTAAATTAAAAACTAAATAAGTTTAAATTAAAAGACCCACAGCATCTCCAGCTAAATATTATTTTTCAAGGCTATGCTCTCCAAACACAATGCAGCAGTTCACAGCAGGATAGTACTGTGTGCTTTAAAAAAATAAAGCAAGAGCTGGAGAGTTAGCTCAGCAGCTAAGAGCACTTGTTGCTCTTGCGGGAGGACCATGGTTCAATTCCCAGCACCCACATGGGGGCTCAAAACCATTTATAACTTCCGTTCCAGGCAACCTGATGACGTCTTCCAACTTCTGTCTGCACCAGACACGCTTTTGGTGCACAGGCATATACACAGACAAAACACCCCGATACATAAAATAATAAAATGAATAAATCTAAGAAGAAGCAGGTAACAACAACCACAACCTCTGAGCGTCCTGAACACTAGTTCCCAGAGCTGCTTATAATGAGCAAACCCCAGTGCTCCTATAGACTGCATATATGCCCATGGTCCAGCTCCTTGGACCCTCCTGGGGCCTCAGGACAAACCTGCTCATTCAAAGAGCGGGAGAAATCTAGCATCTTTCCCTCAAAGGGCCTTGCCTGCCCCAGTACTCCTCTACTTGGTAGGACTTGGACTATGGAGAAATCTTGAGCCCATTACTTAGAAGCCAAAAATGGATAGAGAGAAAATTAAAAAGATGAAAAAAGCCACAGACTCCTAAGCACAGGCTGTCTTTCCAAGTCACTCTCCCATGAGACAGACATTGTTTTCAACAGAGGCATACAGATACTTTCCTGCTGCCTCTAAACACTTTGGAGAGAAAAATGTTGAAGCCAGCAGTCGCAAAAGAGTTTGCTTTTTCAGAAGAGAGAATGAAATCTGCCAAGTTTGAGTAAAAGCCTCAAGAAGTGTCTTCATCCTGTGTCACACCTATGGGTATCACCTGGCTGCTAGCTGGCACCTTGTCAGCAGGCACCTAATAAAGCGGCCTCTGGTGTCTCTGCCCAGCAGGGTCACCTGCTGATGTTGGCTGGTGCCTTGGGGTGGGATGAGTCGAGAGGCACCTGGCACAGAGGCCCCAGTGACCCTGTAGAGTTCTAACCTGAGTTCCTGCTGCAGCAGGTCCAAGGTCTAACCAGCATCTAGGCAAAGGTATGATGGTGGTCCAGGTCTACCTGCAGAACCAGCACACTGAACGGCAGAGAAGTACTAAAAGCCACACATTCCTTACACTCACACATGTGGTGACTGTGAGGAGAACCACATATCTGGCCCTGGGAAAAACACTCCCATTCAAGCCCAGCCCAAGCCTTTCAAAGGCTCAAAGTGTCACCTCAAGCCCCCAAAACCCAAACTCACAGCATTTCCCCTTTTTTGCGGGCAGTTGTAAATAATCCCACCCTGCTTCACCCTGCACACATGAATCATAACTCCCACATACGGTGGCTGCTTTCTGCCCACGGCTGCTTTCAAGTCTCTGAATGAGCAGAAGCACTTGAAAATAATAGCAGAACACTTCAAGACCAGCCATAGCATTCTGGTGGGGGACCCCATCATCGCCCCACTGGGGGCCATTCCACAAGCATCTCACTTACCAAAGTAATCAGCTTTGGGATGAGCGTCCATCTCTTGCTCCAGACGCTGGGTAAGGGCTTCTAGTTTCAATTCAGCAGTGGAGGGTCCAAGCTCAGGACTTGGTGCAAGGGTCTGGCAGGGCAACCTCACCTTGGTGGGGGTGGAACTCTCTGAGAGCAGAGGTCCCAGGCTATTGTCGGTAGACCAGCTGGGAGGACCCTCTTTACAAGATAACTCAGATGGAGTGGATATCACCGGATGGACAAGGCTGGTGGGGCTGGGCTTGGGACCAGTGCCAGAATCCATGTTTCCAGGCTTAGGACCCAGCCCGGCAGTCACACCTGGCTGGGTACCGTCCTTGACAGTTGTTGAGGATAACGGAGCAGAAACAGAGAGGTAAGACTTGGGCCCATCCTGCAGCCAAGGCTGGGCGTCCACAGTAGGTTTGTGGACCCTGCCTGAAGCCTCACATCCCAGACCTGAATCTCTTCTCAGACGAGCTCCCTGGCTAGTGCTGTTGGGGACCAGAGGTGCCGAAACTGCTGTGCTCCTCGGTTGAGCTGGGGCCCCATTCTCTAAGCCCAGAGAGGAAAAGCCGAGGTTCACTCGCTGAGAGGAGGCAGTAGACCAAAGGCCTGTTGGCTTCACATTGCTGTCGCCACTAATGCCACCATCCTGGCCACCGATGCCACTTTCAAAAGACCTGCCAGAGCACATGGGGAGCTGTGGTTGGTAAGGGTGATGGTCCCCGCAGGATCTGGGCAGTGGGGAATCATTCCCTGGGCAACCAGGCCACCCACTCTTTACACTCAGATTCATACTGGAGGCTGCTTCTGGCTTATCACCCCACTGTGGGCTTGCCAGGGAGAAATTGTCATAATAGTCTCCGTGAGTGAGGCAGGAAGGGTCTTCACAGGGACCCAGACCGTGCAAAGCAGGCCTCTGGGAACTCACGGGCGCCTCCCTGGAACCACAGTTCTGAATGCCAGGCCTTGCACCATGGGCAGATGGCCTGGCCCTCTGCTCCTGAGATGGGTATGAGGGCGGCACAGCCACAGGGGCGGTAGTTAATCCAGGTGCCACTGCTGGCGCAGCCAGAGGGGGCTTGGCAGCCCCATCTGCAGTCAGCTTGCTGCTCACACCCTGACGGCTCCCACCGTTGACAGGGCTTCTGCCAGCCCTAGACAGGGCCTCCTCCTGTAAGAGCTGCTGTTGCTGCTGCTGCTGCTGGAGGTGGATTTTGGCCATCTTGGTCGCGAACACCCTTCGAGTTTCCTCAAATTCAGGATTGTTGCTGGCACCTTTGTCCACCCGGAAGAGTCCATCCTTGGAGGCCTCGTACATATTCAGGTCCTCGATGAATTTACTGGCCTCCAGGCCCAGGTCGTCATATTTATCCATATTGCTTGCAGATCAGTGTCCGGGGGCCTAGCCCCGGTACAAGGTGTGAATGGGGTGGGGAGATCTGGGTGCTGGCGGAGGTTCAGGTCCAGCCCAAGGCAGATAAAGACTCCCACCTGCCCAGCGTGAAGGTCATGACTCCAAACTTACAGTCCAACCAGAGTTGAGGCCTTCAGGCCAGCGAGCTAAGTTTACTTCCAGGCTTCTTTTCCCCTGGGGAGCGTCCACGTGGGGGCAGAGTAGCCTTCAGCTGTGCCCCGCCTGCTCGGAAAAGTTCTATTTTCTAAGACAGAAAATCAAAAACAGACGAAAGAAGACGGAGAAAAGTAAAGAGATAAAACAAACCCACATCTAGGTCGGGCAGCCGAACTTGCAAACCCACTGGGCAGCGGCTGGCCTGGGGCCGGCGGCCGGGGCCGGCAGAGCTCAC